CCACACCTCTGGAAGTTCAGCACACCCGTCTCAAAGCCGCCAAGTTTTGCAGGCTGACAAGCAAATGCCCCTACCTTGCCCAACGGGGTGTGTGTGCGTGTGTGTTCAAGCAGAATGCCCCCCCACCGCCGCTTCGCCCCCCCCAGCTCAGCTGCACACGATGGGAGGGGGGAGGAACAGGACAGTCACCTTGAGGGCCGAGTGGTCCAGGCCAGGGAAGACGGGCAGCCGCTGCTGGGGCTGGGAGGCGGGCAGCTTCTCCGAGGGCGGGTGCCTCTTCCCCTCCTCCTCCACCACCTTCTCCTCCGACTCTTCGGGCTTGGCCGATTTTCCTTCATAATCAAGGTGTGCGGCTGGGGGTTATATTTTTAGGAAGCAGAGAGGGCAGAGGCGTCAGGACGAGAGGGAGACTTGCAGGCCAGAACAAGAGACGCTGCCCGTCAGGATCCTCCTACAAAGCAGCAGACGCATCGCGCCCCCTTTGGAAGAAGCAGCATCCCACGGGAACTCCAGCCCCCCAAAAGGCCTGCCCCGCCCCCCGGGAAGGCGGTCTGGCCAGCTGGAGACTTCCCTGCTGCCTGCCAGCAGTGTTCCCTCTCAGCTGAGTGAGTGTGAGCTAGCTCACAGTTCTTTAGCCTCCGGCTCACACATTTTTGCCTTCGCTCAGGAAGGATGGGGCTCCAGGGCAAAACCGATTTATGCAGGAGTCCAATTGCTCGCTCACAACTTTTAATGCCAAGAGCTCGCAAAGTAGAATTTTTGCTCACAAGACTCCACAGCTGAGAGGGAGCATTGCCTGCCAGTCCCCCCTCCTCCCTAGGCCTCGGGGGCCAACGTCCTCGTCCGGCCCTTGGGCAAGGCCCTTCTCCCCCAGTCTTTTGGTGGCCCCGGGGAGCCCCAGCTCCCTGCGCCCCACTCCACATGGCCTCGGGAGGGTCCCGTGGCTTCCCCTGCAGTGGGCCAGGGCGTCCAGGCAGGATCCTGGACAGTGCAGAGTTGCACCCAAATGCATCTTCGGGGACAGCGAGATTCGAATCCAGCAGAGCTTTCGAGATCAACAAGGTTTTCGGGCAACGTGACGAAGGGAGGCTTGGAGGAGTCTAGAAAGCGGGACACGCCGGACGTCTTGTTGCTCTCGAAGGTGCTGCTGGGCTTCGACTGGGCTGCTCGACTGCAGGCCGACGTGGCCCCTCCCTCAAACGATCTCTGGGGGTGGCTCTCGAGCGGAGTTTTCCCCAACAGACGTTTTCCCCAACAGGGATTTCTCATCTCCCTCTGTAGGACGCCGCCGGGCTCCCTTCCTTGGCCTGTTCTTTGTTTTGCTGAGCAGGCTTTGGAACCCTGGGGTAAACTAGCCCGCCGCACACCCTGCTGCAGCTACCTGTGGAATCCTTGAACATCCAGGCGCCGCCTGCTGCCTCCTCCCTCGTGGAGGGCCGCGGTTCGGCGTCTCCCCCACTGCTTCTCCGGAGCTGGTGGGAGATGGGAGCTCGATGCTGGCGCCGCCTCTTGCTTAGCTGCACCCGGGTTTTCAGGGCACTGGAGTCCAGCACCGCCGTTTGCTTGGGGAGGGAAGAGAACCACACATGCATCATCCACCACAGAGCTGGGGCACGACCTGGCGAGGACTGGGAGGCGGCCTCTCGCAGCAACTCACCTCCAGGAAGGAGAAGTCTGGGCCGGCCTCTGCCGGGCCCGGGCCTTCAGTGCCATCGGCGGACTCCAGATCCGTGCTGGAGCGGTCCAGACTGGTGCTCCTCTGGTCCCGGGGGGAGTCGTGCAGGTCAGGCGTGGAGGCCGGGTCAGTTTGGGAGGAGAAGGACGACAGGCGGCTGCTGGGGGGCTGCTGCCTCCGGGCCGAGGCCACGTGGCTTTCCGCGGAAGGCGATTCTGGCACCAAGCTGCAAGGACAACGGCCCGGGACCGTGAGCGGCACAGCGTGGCCATCGCATTGGGGGGCAAGGGGAAGACAAAGTGCCGGGGGGCTGCGTGACGCGCAAACAGGTCCCTGGAGAGGGGCTGCACTGCTCCACGCCAGGCCAGACCTCCCAGGCTGCCTCGGAGACATCCATGGAGCCCAGGCGACGAGGCCAGCGACCACGGCAGCCACCGGGATGCCGGAGCACAGCGTTCCTTAGGTTGGTCCTGCTCATCTCTGTGGGGCTCGAGACAAATCTAAGCCCCCCCAACCCCCCCAACTGCACACAGAAGAACTCCCCAGGGAATCACGGGAAATGAAGGGGGGGGGGAGACAAAGACGCAGGCTTCACAACAAGCCTGGGAGTGCTGCTCTGGAGCCAGAGACGTTGTGGGAGGAGCCCCGCCCCATCCGACGAGGACCCACGGAGCCCAGCACCCCACTCCCCACGGTGCCAAGTGGGCCCGGGGAGCCCCACGAGCTTCTCCAGATCATCCTCCGCAACCCAGACCCTTCTGAACCCGCTGGTCTTGTCTCACCCCAAACAAAAAAAGCTATTTGGGAATATGCCCTCCTTGCCCAGCAGGTGGCACCAGAGCCTCTCCCCTTCACGCCTCTGGCCAGGAGTTCTCCAAGGAACAGGAATCCTCTCCCCTACCGAAATAATACTGATCCTTAAACCTCAGAAAGACCCTAAAGAAGTAGGATCATATAGACCCATAAGTCTCCTAAACCTAGACTATAAGATCTTTGCTAAAATAATGGCAAACAGACTAAAGAAGGTAATACCATCCATAATAAAAGGTGATCAGTATGGGTTCGTAAAAGGTAGAATCATAGCGCACCCTATAAGGAATATCCTAAATGTGTTATACCATGGACACCAGACGAAGATAGGATTACTAAAATTAGACGTTTACAAAGCCTTTGACACTCTAGCTCATGAATACCTATGGCAAATAATGAGTAAAGTGGGAATCGAAAAGGAATTCCTAGAGGCAATTAAGGAAATATATAAAGGTGGGAAGGCAATAGTGAGAGTAAATAATGAGCACTCACAAGCATTCCCTATACAAAGAGGGGTACGGCAAGGGTGCCCATTGTCACCGCTACTCTTCATAATGGCAGTAGAACAGTTAGCGGAAAGAATCCGGAATTCTGGAAGAATAGAAGGTTACAAGATAGGGAAGACGGAAATGAAAATTAATTTGTTTGCAGATGACATCATAATCATCATGACAAATCCTAAAGAGGGAGTTAAGGAAGTTAAGATTATTTTAGATGATTTCGAAAAAAACTCAGGGCTAAGTGTAAATATGGCAAAATCCGAAATTTTATACGTAAATGTAAATAGAGAAGAAAAGAAAGAAATAAACAGAAGTACAAACATAGGGCTAGGAGTTAAGAAATTTAAATATTTAGGAATAGTAATACAGAAAAATTTGGATAAGATGATAAAGGAAAATTATGATAAAATTTGGAAGAAAATAGAGAAGGATATGAGAAGGTGGAAAAACAAAACAATAGGGATATCCTCTAAGATTAGAAGTGTTAAAATGTTCTGGGTACCAAAAATATTGTACTTACTCCAAACACTACCAGTGGGAGCAATGGAAAATAAAATTACTCAGTGGAACAGATTATTAAAAGAGTGGATTTTCGGCAACAAAAAATGTAGGTTTCATAAAGGGATAGTATACAGCCATAAATCAGAACTGGGATGGGGAGTTCCAGACTTAAATAAGTACTATGAGGCATTCCAACTTAAATCATTACTGGAATTAAGTGAGGAAAAAGAACTGAAATGGGTTAAATTTGAGGATGAGATTAATAACAATATAGGAAGATTAGGTATGTTTCACAAAGTTAAGGCTAATGAACTAAAATTAACAATAGGCCCTAGAAGATCAACATTAGAAGTCTGGAGGAAGTGGCAACCGCATTGGCTAAGGAGACCCTCTAGATGGGCGCCATTGGAAACTATCATAGAAAAGGAGCAAGAAATCAAATGGTGGGAAATTTTAAGGTCTAAAGGATATCATAGAGTGGAGGAT